CACCCGGGAGGGTGTCGCTCCGTGCCGCTTCTCGAGCAAGTTTCCCTGAGTGGCGTGGAATGTGTTTCTACAGAGCAGAGTTCTACATTTAATTTTATTTTATTTTTTTAAACGAAAACACGAAGCCCCAAGGTCTGGGCAAGGTTGGCCTGTGCTGTAGCACGAGCAAAGGGAAAGAAATAGTGAAGGGGAAGAGAGGGAATTTATTTTGGAGCCTTCACTCACATATAAAATCGCCTGTAGCAATTAGACCTGGAGGAGATTTTCATGTGTTTTCTGTTTTGTACCCTTGGAGTTATAAGGAGAGGTCATGAATAGAAAGAATAAGAATAAATTATATGCAAGAATAAGAATAAACTATATACAGGGGGTAAAAAACCCAAACCAACCACCAGCTATTTTCAAACACCAGTGATGGTTGCAGATTGTCAGCAGTCTTTGTTATTACTGTGACATTTACCAAAAAAACTTTCAAAAACATGAGTAGTGATGTACAGTCCACTGTGAAGGTAGTTTAATGTTGTTGATACAGAGCAGCAGGTATTTTTTTACTTCAGATACTTTGACCAAAAAAATAGAACAAAACTTCTGAATATTTACATTCTGTACAGTGTAATTTGAAATTATGTGGTGTCTCATGCTGTTACTAAGTGAATAAATACTTATTTTCAATAGAGTTTTCTGTTGTGCTTTGTGTTTTGGACTTGCTTAAATGTGTAGTGGTTGTTTAAAGTCAGTTTAGTGCATTTTTACTTTGCATTACAGAGGTTGTTAAAGTTGCTCGCAGGCAATGAGTTACAGAGGTTGAGTTAAAGTTGCTCACAGGCAATGTCACGGTAAAGTCTTTCTCATACATTTAACAATTAATTTTACTCTAAGTTAGGAGTTTTACCTTTCTGATATTGTTGGGTGCTTAATCAACAATTTCAGATTATTTTTGATTGTATTTGAGGGGTTTTTTTAATAACTAGAGGTGGTCTCTGCATATACAGCATTGTAAAGTAAATAAAAGCGATGCTGTAAAGGCAGTCTGATTTTAAACTTATAATAGTTTTTATGCTTTCTGTCATAAAATACCTATCTGCATTCTTGGTTTCCTTCCTAAAAAGAAGCATTTCTTATGTTTTTCCTCTTCTTCCTTAAACATTCCACTTTTCACTTGAAGAGAGGAGATGTTTCTAACAAGTATCACCTGTTGAAATTGGCTTTCCTGTCCCTCCAGCCGAAAGAGGGCATGCTGTTTCTGCCTGTGTCAGCGCTGTGCTGCCTGGTGTTGGTGGTAAGGTAGGACTGAGGGGTGACAAGTTAACATCTCATACCAGCTCTGAGTGATTCTGGGTCAGAGGTGTTAGAGGAGTACTGGAGATGTGCCTCAGCACCGGGTCAGGCTGCACAAAAGTTAAGGAGCTCTTTTCCTGTTCTTCTTGTACGTCCATTATGGGAACAACTGGGGCAATAGTAAAATTAATTTTGAAAATGAGATGCTTTCAGCTAAAGGATTAACAGCTCTCACAGGGTGAACTTCTGATGGGATAGATAGTAAAGTGGGATACACTGCATTTTTCACTAATAATACATCAAAAATGTGGCTGAGAATGAAGGAAATTAAACATCCAGTGTTGTTTTCTTAGGCTAATTTAACTGGTTGCATAACTCTGCTAAAACTGGCTAGACAAGTTGTGGATGTAAATATTTTTACGTGCTTTTAATGTCCTCTGGAGGAGACAGAACTTTTTTTTTTTCCAAGGTACTTTTCATTAGCATTATGTGAAATTAATGTAAAGTGGTTTTAGAAGTGATGGTGTTTTTATTGCAGTTGAAGTGGCTAACCCATGTGTGTTAACTTGTGCCCTAATGTACGTAGACAAATGGCATCAATAATGCACAATGGATCTGAATTTTTAACAACAAAGCTGTATTTTTTTTTGGTTCCAATAGTGGAGATCTCTGCTTTTAAAGCATGCTTTATTGCCATGGATTTTCTTTGATGGCAAAACATGCAAGGATACAGTGCAGTGATAAGCGTGAGGTCCTTAAGTGACCATATATCTATTAAAATTTAGTTGTTCCAAACAACTAGGAGCCACAGCATCATGTGCAGGTCTCTGCTTGCGAGGTAGTCGTGTTTTGAGAGGTGAAGGTGGCAGCCTGGCAGCGTTGGATTCTGCTTTCAGTTCTCCACATAGAAACTCCTAATTGTGTTCCTGCTTGATGCAGCATCCAGTGGGCAGTTCGTTGAGCACTGGGCAATGCTGCTTTTTTCCTAGTATGTTGCAGGACTCAGTGATTATTTTCTGAGCCCTTCTTCGGGGCTGTTCAGCCTGGAAAAGAGAAGGCTCTGGGGAGATCTTATAGCGGCCTCCCAGTACCTGAAGGGGCTCCAGGAAGGCTGGGGAAGGACTTTTCATAAGGGCAGTTAATGACAGAACAAGGGGAAATGGGTTTAAACTGAAAGAGGGGAGGTTTAGATGAGATATTAGGAAGAAGTTCTTCACTGAGAGGGTGGCCAGACACTGGAACAGGTTGCCCAAGGAAGTTGTTGATGCCCCCTCCCTGGAAGTGTTCTTGGCCAGGCTGGATGAGGCTTTGAGCAACCTGGTCTAGTGGATGGGGTCCCCGCCGATGGCAGGGGGGGTGGGACTGGATGAGCTTTTAGGTCCCTTCCAACCCAAACCATTCTATGATTCTCTAATGTAAGAAGGAAACACCTTCTCCCTACTTTTTTTTAACATCCTTATAAAAGCAATAAACAGCAACTATGCTATTTCCTGTTAACCAAAATAGTAATACTGAAAAAGAAACTAAATTAAACACCCCTCATATTTTGAGATCTGTGATTCATTTCAGTTTTAAAGATGACATTTTGGGAGAGCAATTGTACTCTGCAACAGAAGGGAGTCTCATGAGGCTGGGGAGGATGATCAGAGATGCTTCAATAAGTAGTTTCCTCCTTGGCTCTTGCTCTATTTTTGGGAGGTATTGCCGTAAAAAGTAAAAACATTTTTCTCTACATCCTTTCCATCTCTCTCCAGATAGAGCATGCCTGCAGTGATTTTTGCCAAGAACGTGGTTTGCTGGATGTTCAGCCAGCAGTTGCTGTGCTGTGGGGAAGAGGGATGCGGCACTACTCCCACTTAGCTTGCTGGATGTCTTGCATGTATTCCTAAACTGCTCACCTAGTGCTACTCCTGATGGATCCTAGAAGATTATAATGGCATCTCTCAACAAATTCCATCAAGTAATAGCAAATCCTGCAAACTTTTCCATTTGGAAAATGTCCATTATTCAATCTCAGCAAAGCTTAGATTTATTTTTTTAATTATTATTGTTATTTTTTTTCCTTTAAAATCAGTGTGTACTGTCCTTCTGTTTGTGAACCACTTTTATTTCAATTCTGCCAGGCTGGATGAACACTGCATAGCTATGGAGAATGAACCAAACACAACAACATGTTCTGCATCTACAACTACTATCACCACCACCTCCACCTCCCGGACACAGCTGCCACAGATCTCTGTCTACAGCGGCTCTGACAGACATGCCGTCCAGGTACTGGGCTGTGAGATGCATTTTCCTGTCCTGTACAGTGCTCTCAAATGCAGGCATTGCACAATACTTTACACAAGATTAAATTTCCATTCTTAATTGCTGTTTTTTTTTCTCAGTATCTGATTTACTGGTTCTCAGAAGATACTGTTTGTCAGAGGGTATCAGACCACTTAAGAATAGTGCAGAGTCCAGGCCTGCCTCCCAAGTAAGGGAGGGGGAAATACTGTGCTAGAAAGTTTGCTTTATTATTTTTTCCCCACCATCCCCTGAAGGTATGGAATATTAACATAAACCTTTACAAAATAACACAAAATAAAGCTGTTTGTTTGACCAACATTAACTACAGGGATCCAGGTATGGGTGTAAATGCTGCTTTGGATCCAGCCTCCTCTTGCTGTTCTTTAAATTAGGCCTCCTCAAACTCTGTGCCATTCTGTTTGGTTTGATAATTGAGTATCTCTCATGGTATCCTGATCTTTCAAAAGGGGAACATTATGTAGGACTTGTTGACAAGAACCTGAGAGGTTTGGATGTTGGGTTATGAATGATGCTGTATTGTCAGGCTTTCCTTGCAAATGTGATTATATTTATGTTGACTATATTCTGTGACTTGGTTGAGAACAGTGATGGAGCAAGTTCAGTATTACTTAAATTGGTGTGAGAAGAATTTATTTGGTTTTTATTTCCTTGTAAAGGTAAACTTCAGCATCATGTCAGCATGGTGTGTACTTTGTAATTGTAATTAATTACCTACTGATTCGTCACAGGTTATTCAGCAGGCCTTGCATCGTCCTCCTAGCTCAGCTGCTCAGTACCTCCAGCAGATGTATGCAGCCCAACAGCAGCATCTAATGCTGCAGACTGCTGCTTTGCAGCAGCAGCACTTAAGCAGTACCCAATTTCAGAGTCTGGCAACTGTACCACAGGTGAGAGCGAAGATTGCTGAACAAGAGTGCTGTACTACTTTCAAGAGCAGGACTACAATTCTAAAACATTGTCAAACATAATAACAGCTTAAGTGCCTGAGCTTAATGCCTCACAATAATTTACTGTTATATTTTAATGACTTTATTATTTTAAATTGTATCTTCCTCCAATTTGGAGGATTTTGTCCAGTGTTATAGATGCTCCAGTAGGCGACCATTCCATGCTTTATTGCATACATTATAATGCATCATGTAAATCATCAAACAGGAATAAAATAAATATTAAAAATAGACTACTTCAATCTTCATCCCATATTTTTTTCTACAAGTTGATGGGGAAAGCAATGAATAGCAATGTATCTTAGTGAAATCAAATCAAATTAATGAACACCTGGTATCTCGGTGTGTTTTGACACACATTTGGCTGCATTCTAAGTAATGTCAAAATTAAATTTTAACTCTGAGTTTGGAACTGTAGGAAGTAAATGACATTTCATTTCTGAAGCATGGCTTTTAACATTAGTGAACACTGGAGGAAACCCATTTTGAAAACTGAAGCAGTGGGAAGATTTCCTTTGACCTCAGTTGACTTTGGATTGAGAACACCATCCTGCAGGGATAGGTGGTTGTTAATGATTTTACACATGGAAATGCTAAAATGGAGTTAAAGACTTCAGGGATACAGCTGTTTGTTGTCAGAACTGGGACTGGGTCTTCTGTGCTCCTGGCTTTTTCTTCTATACCTTTTCCAGTAGATGATGGTAATATATTGATGTTGGGTTTTTTGTGGCAGATTTGTGTGTGCATATACAGTTACCGAGACAAAGAAAATCAGATTGGGGAAAGCAAAGAAGTTTTCATGTGCAGTCTCTTAACACCAAAATCTAAATTACTGTCCTGTCTTCATCTGAAGGGCTGGAATAGTGTACTGTTACAGGCACTAGATGTGCTTACATAAATTATCATTCTGGAATATGAGAGTGTTCTTTACAGCATTTATAAAGTTTGTTTTATTTTTAGAGGATTCTGATCACAATAAAAATTATGACGTGAGTTTTAATAATGCCAGTTTTTAATGATGTCACATTCTAAGTTCTGAGCACCATAGGTTAGTGAGCTGATCATTAACAGTTTGATAAGAGTTTCCCTCAGATAGTTTTTGTTCAGGTCTTGATCTGCAAGACTCTGAGTCCCTGAAATTGGGTAGGGATTCAGGGCATTTAGCACCTCTCAGGTGTCAGTCTGTAGTGCAGAGTGCACTTTGCTGAAGACTAATTCCACTGAGTAAAGCGTTTTCACTGTTAACTCAGGGAAAAGGTAATGGTAGAGAGGGATGTTTCTGGTGGTTTATGCAATAATATGAACATCACTTAAACACTTTTTGATTTCAATATTTGACACATATTCTTGCTATTTAGGCAAGCCTGTCAGGTGGGAGGCAATGTACTTCCCCCACTGGGAGTGTCACTCAGCAGTCAAGCATGTCGCAGACCTCGGTACGTAACTGAACAAAGCCCTCCATCCATTCTCAACCCTTCTTGGTTATTAAATAACTTATTTGAAAAACAGAAAAGACTTTAGTATTTAAATTTGTATGGTTAACATGACAGTAAATAGAAGTATGACGACTCTGTAGTAGGTATTGACTATGTTTCTGGCATCTGACAGTCAGCCTGATTTGTGCTGCCAGCTGCTATCGTTCTGGCCAGCGTTGGAGGCTTCCCCAGTCCCAGACCACTCTTGGTGCTCTGAGGGGCAGCTGCTCACTCCACAAGCACTAGTTCAGACCACTGCAGGAGCCACTCCCTGAGCTTTCCTTTCTCACATGATTTCTTACTGGATTTTTCACGTTAGTTTCTTTATTCAGGGTGCTGTTGTAGGTTAAAATCATAACTCTCTGTATCAGTGATTAAAGAGCACCAAATCTAAAGAATCCAAGTCAGTGCTCACACATATATATATGAAACTGGTTAAATGTTTATAACATCCATTCTTTTATTGATTATCATCCTTTATCATGCATCTTTTATGCACTTTCAATTACTTTATCCATATTCTAGGCATGTGCTCAGGTTTCAGTTGTGAGCAGCTCTGTGTTGAGTTCATGCTGTATTTCTTTAAGTGGCATTTTCAGATGTGTAATTTGCACAGTCTCTTACGTACAGTTCTACAGTTGTTTTGAGTAGCACTTTGTTAGTCCTACAGACATCCTGCTTATTAATCATGCCCTCGATCTGTTCATGACTTCAGTGCATAGCTTCAGTGATTTAACTGTGTATTTTTTTGAGCTCTCATAGCATTGCTTTGGCTTACAGTTGTTAGAAGTAAAATGAATGATTAATTTGTTAAATTTAGGAAGGGAAGTCTTTAAAGATGTCTGATGTTAAACCAACAATAATTGGGCTGGGATTTTTCAAGGAAATCTTTTGAGTAAGTGATGAAAAATAGCTGGGCACTTAACTCTGTTAGATTGGTTAGGAATATAAAAAAAAACAAACCCCAAACCAAAATCACAACAGCTTTTGCTTGAGAATATGCTAAAGAGGAATTGTTCAGGATTAAATATTTCATTTAATATGAAATTCTAGAAAGTTTTAGTTTCCAGTCATTTTTAAATGTGGAATCAAAGGCCATATATGGCAGCATAAAGAAGTGTCCTGATCAGGTTGCATACAAGCATAACAGAAGGCATCAGTCCATTCAGATAATATAAACATTTAAAGATGCTTAAATATTAAAATTGTTTTTCATAAAACATTGCAAGCTGGTGCTACATGTTCTGTAAATGTGTATTTCTATGAGGTATATTTTTCAGATTTCATTGTATCATTGTTTATACTTGTAACTCATTATTATTTACTGCTAAATGGATGCTTGCAGTTTAAGAACAGAAATGTACAGTCTTGCCAGAATCCAGTTCTGTGATGATTGGCTCAATATATTTTTTGATATCTTTACAGTTCAGAGATTTCAACTGCCCCTGCCATTTTTATCAAAGGCTTTCTGGCTTTAGACCTTAGGATGAATGAATTTCCATGACAGAAGCAATATTTTTGTTTCCTTAGATTAACCTCTCCACCTCTCCTACACCTGCACAGATAATAGGCCGTTCACAGACCTCCAACACCACCAGCAGCAGTATTACCCAACAGACTATGTTGCTGGGGAGCACCTCTCCAACCCTGAGTGCAAGCCAGGCTCAAATGTATCTACGAGCTCAAATGGTAAGTTCTGATTACAATTATTAAGCTTGGGTTTGGTTCTTCCCCTGCCCCTCAGAAAAAACCCCACTGCAATTTAACTGCTTCAGTTTTTATTTTGTTTCTATAAATTTTTTATAAATATTTTTCTTTAGTTTCAGGTTGCATTGAGTGTTTAGTCACTAATTTGTGAATATGTATCCTCTGAAACACTGTAGACATCAGAAGTGAAAGGATTGCTGTCACCTAGTTCTCTGGTGAAGTTTGCTCAAGTGCTTTTAACTTGGTTGTACTACAGTTATTAAATTGCTCAAGTATAGGAAAAATAGAAAAAGAGCACCTATGTTTTCTGGCTCTGTAGAAGGACATGCTGGAATCTGTCTGTGTTTAAGGTGGATTATTTTCCAGTGCACTGGTAACATTCAGAATTCTGACTCTTCATTAAAATTTTCTTGTATTTAACTAAGATTGTCCTTTGCATTATTGTCTCTAGAATTTGAGTTAAATATATACCTTTCATTCTCTTTGGATTCACATGAAACCCATTAGATTCTTGCAATTTCCTGTCAATATGGTGTTTCCATTTCCCAGTGGACAACTTAAAAAAAAAAAATCTGTTTAATGATTTATTTTTTAAATTTAATTTAGTATTTTCTCTAGTGAGTTTCATATGAATCGAACCTTCCAGTCTGTGTGGGGTTTCATAGAAATTACTGAAGCTGTACGTGAATGCTCTGAAGAGAAGGACTTGGGAGTGGTGGTGAGTGAGAAGCTGAACACGAGCAGGCAGACAGTGTGCGCTTGCAGCCCAGAAGGCCAATAACCGTATCCTGGGCTGCATCAAGAGAAGCGTGGGCAGCAGGTCGAGGGAGGTGATTCCGTCCCTCTACTCTGCTCTTGTAAGGCCCCACCTGGAGTTCTGTGTCCAGTTCTGGAACCCCCAACATAAGAAAGATATGGACCAGTTAGAACTAGTCCAGAGAAGGGCCACCAGGATGATCCGAGGGCTGGAGCACCTCTCCTATGAGGACAGGCTGAAAGAGTTGGGGCTGTTCAGCCTGGAGAAGAGAAGGCTCTGGGGAGATCTTATAGCGGCCTCCCAGTACCTGAAGGGGCTACAAGAAAGCTGGGGAGGGACTTTTCATAAGGGCAGTTAATGACAAAATGAGGGGAAATGGGTTTAAGCTGAAAGAGGGGAGGTTTAGATTGGATTTTAGGAAGAAATTCTTGGCTGTGAGGGTGGTCAGACACTGGCCCAGGTTGCCCAGAGAAGCTGTGGCTGCTTCTCCCTGGAAGTCTTGAAGGCCAGGTTGGATGAGGCTTTGAGCAACCTGGTCTAGTGGAAGGTGTCCCTGCTGATGGCAGGGGGGTTGGAACTGGATGATCTTTAAGGTCCCTTCCAATCCAAACCATTCTATGATTCTATGCTCAGGTACCAATCAGTACTTGGTAAAGGCCAAAGACACTATTATGGCATGAGTTAACAACCAGAGCTTTCTATGTTCAACTCACTTTTTCTTTGGCTATTGTTCTTCTACATGTTCATTGAAAAAAGTAGGATATCTTGAAGGTAAGGATTTAAAGATCAAATGCCTGATTATCAGTTTGCCAGTGGAAGGATTTCTTGAGTCTCTGGTTTGTTGGAAAAGCGAGATGCTGAATGCACCTAGTACAATGTAACAGAACAGGAGTTACTAATTAATCTCATGTCACTGCCTTTCAATATGCATTGACAACGTAGGAGCTGAAGCAGTTTGAGGATGAGGTTGCTGGTTTTTGTAGCAGCAGTCTCTCTCCATGACATGGATTATTGCTAGTTTTCCTGTTCATTTACACTAAATTTTCATCTAGACTGTCAATGTCAAATGCTTATTTGAATCACTGCTTTAGACCCCAGCATCAAGAGGGAAACTTACCCTATTAGTTTCTGTTTAGAATGATATTGCAAGATCATTTTTCAAGCTTCAGTATTTCAAACATGTCATACCCATCTTTTGGTGTTTCTAACATACTAAAAGTCATGCATTTTTCTTCGTCACCTGGCTTTTAATTTTCTGTAGAAGGGTCAACTCTTACCTCTAGCTAGCTCATAACAGCTTCATCACCAGCTTGGTTCAATTCCAGATAAATACTTTAATGTTTAAGTTGAGATATCCTTAGAAATATGGAAAACTAACTAATGATCTCTCTTGAAAGCCTTCTGTGAAGTTTGTCTTTGCTATATTGCCTATAAAGGAATTAATGACAGTTAAGTATGCTAGAAGCTGGTAATTTCAGGTTGGTTGTATGATACCTGTTCTCACTATGAAACTTAAATAGCATAGTGAAAGTTGCCAGAACAACTCTGCTTGTTGAGTAACATTTTGCCAGACTGGAAGATCTCTTTCTGTAGTATTGTAGATACCGGGCTGCTCTCTTGACGTTTTTGCCTTTGTTTCAGTAATTTGTAATATTGACAGGAAAGTCCTCTTTAAAATGCTTGTATGAAAGATTATACATATGTCTATATGAGATTTTTCTGAATATGTAGAACAAATATTTTACATTATTATATTTATTTTACATTATTATCTTTTAAATTTATTTACTTAAACTACCATGACAAATTGTTCTTTGAATAAATTCATCTGAAAATAAAAAAGCAGCTGTATATCACTACATGTAACTTATATATCTCTCTTTAAAATATTGCATTTCTTTCACATATTTTCAAAGTTTCAATCTGTTACCAGATATTTTTTTTCTTGCTTAACAGCTTATTTTTACTCCTGCAACCACTGTGGCTGCTGTCCAGTCTGACATTCCTGTTGTCTCTTCATCTTCCTCATCATCCTGTCAGTCTGCAGCTACTCAGGTGAGCTTGTGTAAAATTTTGCTTAAGTTTACTTGCATATAAAACCTATTAATGGGTACTGGTTATGTACAACTTCAGTGTCTTCTTTTTGCCATTATCACTCATTGTGTCATAGATACAGTTGAGATCCTGAATATGACACTTTAGGTCTTTGTAATTAGCTCTCATCTTTATTACCTTGAATAACTTCATGAACTTGTATCACCTTTTCACTGCTCAACGTATTTATCATCTGAAAAAAATCTACATAATTGTACCTATTGTTACAGATCATATTAGTCACAGTCTTCTGGTGTGAAAAGTGAACATTTATCTAACAAATCTATGATATCATGAGAGATCTTCTCTTTGATCTTAGTTTCTTTAAAAGGCTTTGATAAACAGACCTGGTTTAGAAACCTTTTAGAAATCCAAATAAATTATATCAGTTGAATGTTCTCTGACCTTGTGTTTGTTGACCCCTTCAGAAGATTCTAATAGACTTGAAGACCTTAAAGCTATGTCCCAGTTCTGAGGTAATGTCAGATCATTGAAGCTTGCCTTCCTTTTGCTTTTCCAGTAGGTATGTGAGGCGGGCAGAGCTTGCTGGAATTGAACTCTGTGTTTGTACAGGATGTTGTTGAGCAAGCACACAATGTTAAGTTCATCAGTTCAGCTTTCATTGAAAAGACAGACTGCTCCTTCACTCTTGAAGTTATTGTGCCTCATTAACCTTTATCACAGCTGCCTCTTTCCTTCAGATTCTGCAGATCAAGTTGGAAAGTGCAGGGAGGTTACTGGATGGGCTAACAGCTCTCTTTGCATTTCCTGAGGCATCACTGCAGACAGACAGTACAATCTCACCCCCCACCATAGAGTGTTATTCAGTCAGGTGCTCTGCTGTGGTGACCCTGCCAAACTCAAGCTGTTCCTCTCCCCTCTCAGTGTTCAGTACTGTCTTATTAACAACCAGGTGTTGTTAACCTTGGTTGTCTGGTAGTTTCTATAGCAGCAGTGACATTGCAAAGATCCAGTTTCATCCGTAGTCAGTGAGGCAATGGAAAAGCTTTAACACTGGTACACTTAATTTTTCTTACCTTGTGATAAATGTGTCCTTGGGCTTTCAGTCAGCTGGGTTGAGAGAAATGTCTTTGTTTACCACATAAGCAAACCTGAGCAGGTAGGCAATGCCAGTTAATAAGAAAAAAATGCATTTGGTTATATACTAGATGTATATATTACACTTGGCCAAGATGTTTGTGAAGGCACAGTATAGTGGTCTCACAGTGTCATCTTCCATGTAGAGATGTCAGAGGAACTCCAAAGTGCATAAATGATTAGCAGTGTCTCAGTGGCACACCTAACACGTCCTGTTGGGTGAACTGACACTTCTCTCCTACTTTTCTTGCCTTCTGCTTTCATACTTTTTTCTTTTCATATATGGCCCCCTCATACATGACCTGGATGTCTCAGATTAGCTTCCTTATCTGTTAAGCTGTTCTGAAGGTTGATTTGTACTCGGAGAGATAGGATTTCAGTAAATGCCTCATGCATGCCAGTAAGGAAACAAACACCGTTGTCTTCAGAACAGGATTTGAATGCATCCTGTGTTAGCACACTGAACAGTGAGAAGTAAAATGTCAGCCAGCTGTTTGTTCATTACACAAGTACTAACTGTTCAGTGAGGAAGGGATTATGTAATCAAAATAGTGGATGGTGATAATAATTATTCCTCTTTTTCATCTAAAGTATAATGTAAATTAGTGCTACAAGAGCAATCTTGATCCTTGAAAATAAAATTCTAGCTCAGCATGTAGGATTGGAAAGCTGGGATCATTCTGCACAGAATCTGGCTGTGGTATAACAGACATCAGTGAAAATAATCACTGACTGATTTACATTTCCCAAGGCAAACCTTTTGTTTCATGTGACGTTGGAGGTGTCATGATGAAAAGGTACATTAATATTGCTGGAGAAATAAAGGGCTCAGGTTTGTTAAAACATGGATAACAGCAGATTCTGGTCCCACTGACTAGCCAAGGCTCTGGTTTGTGTTAGTCTCTGCAGACATACTTACAGAGCACTGCACTTGTGCAGCATCTGTATAAAAATAAAACAGCATTTGCTTAAGGTGCTTTGTGGCACACTTTGAAGGCACAATAAAAGAGAAATATGCAAGTTTTAATTCAAATTAATGAAAAATTTCCATTTCTTTTAAAATACGACAAAAAAGACTTTCCTGTATTTTCTTTATCACTGAAGTAATCCAAGATCCCTATTCTTCTCTAAATTTTGTGGCTTAAAAGATACTTTGATATGCAGATTTTTAATGTCTTATGTATTTTTGATCACACGGGATGAGAAGCATTATATACTGTTATTTTTTGCTATTTTTGCCTGGATGTTTGTCATAGATGTTTATATGGTTTGGGGTTTTTTCAAGTTTTTCTCTTTTCCTAGGTTCAGAACTTGACATTGCGCAGTCAGAAGTTGGGTGTGTTGTCAAGTTCACAGAATGGCCCACCAAAGAGCAGCAATCAAACTCAGTCATTGTCTCTGTGCCCTAATAAACCTGCAACCAGTTCCAAGGGCAGCCAGCCAGATCCCTCAGAAAGCAATAGAAAAGGCGAGAGCCCAACTCCAGAGTGCCGGAGTACACCGGTCACCCGGACATCCAGCATACATCACTTAATAACACCAGGTAGGATGAAAATGGAGCTATGAGAAAGTTATTTTAATTAAAGTTAATTTAGAATCATAGAATGGTTTGGGTTGGAAGGGACCTTAAAGATCATCCAGTCCCAACCCCCCTGCCATCAGCAGGGACACCTTCCACTAGACCAGGTTGCTCAAAGCCTCATCCAGCCTGGCCTTCAACACTCCCAGGGAGGAGCAGCCACAGCTTCCTTGACATTTGTATGTTATGGTTCTGTCAGAGTCCAATGCTCTCTGACTGGGTGGTTCTAGATATTCCACATGAAGAGAGTTTAATGTTTAATAGTAAATTTACTTATTTGTTGATATTGGATATTACACAGAATTATTAGCAGAGGGCTACAACAGTGTTCTTAAATCACCATGCAATCACAGTATAGCAGTTACAATACACAGCTGAATCACAGTACAAACATGATAATTATCACTGGTCTCTCCATATGCTTATTGTCAGGACATGTCACCCCCAGTCTCTGAGAATCAATACATGGGCTGAAACCACCTCAAGCCTTTTGCACTTAGCGAAATCTATTTTGTTGGTGGTTCTTTTTTTTCCCCCCATCTTGTCCGTGTCATCAGAATGTTCTTACATCAAGTACTCTTATCAATCTATAGGTAACAGTGCCACAGAATCTTAGTATTTTGCATTAAGAGATAAATCAAAATAAGCATGCAGTTGTTCAGATATGCTTTTACACTGCATGCAGTGTAATTGCATTTTAGCTTTCTTGTCTAGACAATTGGTCTGAATTCTGTGAAATTTAGGTTGGCTTAATGGCAGCTGTTAGAGGAGTAGGGCTACGAGAGAGATATTCTTGAGATATGGAGCCCTAATGGACTTAGAACTCACTTGTTTAAGGAAAAAAATCCATCTTCACTAGCAGAGTAACTAATAAAAAAGACAACAAATTAGTTGTTTCTCAAGTGGAAAAGACAAAGCAAGAGGAGGTTTGCATGTGGAGGAAAATATGTGTGTGTGCTGTAAGGAATTATTAGTGAGTCAGTGGTTCACTTAAAGGGGATGTGATATCTCTGGAAGCTGCACTAGTTTTACTTTCATACCTTTCAGTTTGTGTGTTCAAGTCCAGGCAAATACTTTGAAAGGTTTTAATTCATGCTGAGCTCTTGGAATTTTTCTCGGTCTTTTAAAATCGTATTACCCAAACTTTAACTTAGCAGTTATCAACAAATCCTGTTGATTGTGACATGCTTATCTCTTCCATTCTGATCTGTTTCAAAGCAAAGGTTAAATCCATTTAAAGTTGCATGAAATTCTTAAATCAGCAAAGACTAGATCAGCAATAATGTTAGAATTAGCACCAAAATGATAAGTTTAGATACTTTTATATAGAAAGTACGTATGTGTATGCATGGCTGTTTTCCTTTATTCATTACTGCATTTTGCTTTGGAAATTGATATATTCCCCTAATAAATTGTTCTTGTGCACTGTATGCTGTCAAAGAAGATATTTCTATACATAGATAAGAGTGGTTGAAAAAGTTGTGCTGGTCTTACTTTAAAGTAAAAACTTCCTTTCTTTTAATATTTTTTATAAAGTGCTCTGGACTTATAGAAATAAATACTGATTATCACTTCTTTTCCTCCCTCACAGCTTCATATTCTCCATTGCAACCTCATTCTCTAGTAAAACATCAGCAGATCCCACTTCATTCACCACCTCCAAAGATTTCCCATCATCAGCTGATATTGCAACAGCAGCAGCAAGTCCAGCCAATTGCACTCCAGACTTCTTCGGGTCAGGACCCCCCTCCATCGCAGCACTGTTTACCACTCCCAAGCCATGGTCTTCCTCCGGGTCCCAGCAGTGTCCCATCTCATTGCTCACCTATTCACATCCATCCTCCACCTCTAACGCTATCTCCTACTCCATCCCAGTCAGCTCAGCAGTCAGTAGTGGTGTCCCCTCCACCTTCTCACTCCCCTAGTCAATCACCCACAATAATTATTCACCCTCAAGCACTTATTCAGTCACAAGCAAACTCCCTTGTGCCAACAGCTCTTCAGCCAGAGCAGACTGCTTCTCAGCAAACCAGTACTAATCCTGTTCGACCAATTGCACAGCCACTTAATCTTCCATCACACCTTCCACTTCCATCTTCCCCTGCTGTACACATAGGGTCAGTTGATCAGCCCAGTTTAGTTTCTCCAAGCCAACAGATTGTGTCCTCAACACCACACCAGCAATATTCCTCCTTGCAGTCCACACCTATCCCTCTCGCAGCTCCTCCTCAGCTGTCAGCATCTTCAACCCAGATTCAACAACTGCCGTTGCAGTCTGTGCAGTCTTTACAAGTGCAGCCTGAAATTCTATCCCAGGGCCAGGTTTTGGTTCAAAACACTTTGGTTTCTGAGGAAGAACTTCCTGCTGCAGAAGCTTTAGTCCAGCTGCCATTTCAAACTCTTCCACCACCACAGACTGTTGCAGTAAATCTTCAAGTGCAGCCATCAGTACCAATTGAAACTCCAGTGGTAAGTGGTAATATTGCAGTTCTTTATTCTTTATCCTTGGCTTCTCTAAAGACCTGTAAATCCAGCCTGTTGACTTCAGAGGCAGCTAAACCAGGTGCTAGAGAGAGGACCAGGAGAAACCTTTTGGTTACAGAAATGAGGTTTAAGAAATCAATAGACATTTTCCTCTCATTTTTTTGGGCTTTTTGTAATGGATCATCAGTCAAGAATACCAACCAAGAATCAGGAAAGTGCAGCTTTTTGACCTAAAAATCTTACCTCTTGATGAAATTGCAGCATATCTAAAGTTAAAAAAGCAAGTAAATACATGTCAATGTTTACATCAAAGTGAATTTTTATAAATATATTAAGTTAAAAAAGCAAGTAAATACATGTCAATGAAGTGAATTTTTATAAATATATCATATGGACTGTAAGCTTTTACCTCTTTTATGTTAATACAAATACAGCATAGGCAGTTGAAATTTTGAGTGGGAGGATCATTTCTATACTATGTGTGAAGGTGTATAGCAAATTATTAAGATAATAGAGTTCTGGATAATTAATCTTGAACTAACATTGAAAAGAATCATTTTCATAAAAGAGTAGGGAAATTTTTTATGCTCTCTTGGTGGGTGTTCCCCATCACTGCCATTTAATTTAGTTCAGTGTTAGTCTTGGACATCTGCAGTTTGTAACTGAAGGTTTCAGCTTCACTCACACTGAACTAAAGTCATCTACAGTGAAATATCAGTGAAATAAAATGATATGCAAATAAGGCTGACATTTAAGATGGCTGTAGTGGTAGCGTGAGCAAAGGATTTAACAGGTGTTATAGGCTTTTTTCAGGCTACCAACAGGTTAAGGAAGAAGGTGTGCAGTTTATTTTTAATTTATATTAAGAGGGTAATGCTAATCTCAACTGTCTGATATTTCATGTAGAAATTGGGCAGAAGAGAAGAAGCCAGGTTTGCTTTTGACAAGGTGGTATTTTACATCCTAATCTGCTAAACTGGCTGTCAGTAATTAACGTAAATTTACTTTAATAGTTTTGGGGAAAATACCTCATAATCTCTTATAACCACTAGTGCTTGATAGTCTTGGTGTACTCTTCTGAAATACTTGATTTGATTATACTGCTGTATAAGTTGGAGAACTATTTGCACACTTGTTATGTTATAAAGTTTACATTTTGCCATTTAAATAGCTACAAATATGTGTATAAATAAAAATACAGTAAACTATGAAGATAAGATATTGAAAAAGTCAAGTTCTCTGGTCTGCTTGATAGGAGAACTCTACCTCTTTCTGCTTTGCTGTTTGTAACAAAATACTTTAATTTTTTTCTTGGACATTGTGATGTCCTCAGACTTGTTTTACATGCAGTTTGGAAACTAGTGTTTTATTAGGAGATTAGCGTATTTTAACACTCTATCAAGTAATTTATTTTAAAAACTGTATTTATGCAACTCTTTTAAGGTATTAAGATAGAATGGAAATCTCTCTAAAGCAATAGTTTGTTGGATGCAGATTTACCAAGTGGAGAATGTATGCGAGGAAGAGATGCCTGAGGAATCGGATTGTGTCCATATGGCTAGAACACCTACGCCACCCACTTTGTCTCCACCAGCCATAACCTTGGGGAATGGAGAGGCACTTAATTCAGAAGATCCTTTGGCAGGTAAGAACAAATGTCAAACTAAGGTAGCTGTTCTGCTTAGAAACTTATCCTGGTTATTGATGTTTCAAAATAAAAATCTGTTATTTTAATCTTTTTTTTTAAATTTAGTGGTATTATTTTTTTTTAAGTAGAAGAAACTTTATGAAATATATTAGAAATCCATGTGATAGAACAAATGGTTCAGTCCCAGAGATGTAGCTTATATAGGTATTTGGATAACACACAGCATAGAAAACACTTATTTGAATTCTTTAGCATATACTTTTGTACTAAAATCTGAACAGATTTGTCAATCTCCAGTTAATCTTTAAGTGATAGCTGTATGATACGGGCAAAATGTGGTGCCTGCTGCGGTGTAAAGATTGATTTTGCAGAATCAGGGTCAACAATCACAAGTTGCTGCTGTAATGGTTGACTGCACTGTATGAGTCTATTTGTCACCATTTTTTTTATATGCCACAGTAAGGAGCTGTCCTAATAAAAAAGCTACCAATGAACATTTTTTATTCTTTGCTGAATTGTAAGATATACGTGTCTGTATCAGTTGTTGTCCTGCAAACTAACATAACTTCCCCTGGTGTGCTAAATATACCAATGTGTACTCTCTCTATACATAATACAGGGTGTATGTGTATATATGCTCTACGTGTAGCTGAGTGCTTACTGGTTTGATGTGGTATATACTCGTGACCATGCAGGTCACTGAGTCTCAAAGCATCCCTGAAAATAAATTCTCTTTAGAAATACCTCAGCTACTCAGTCTTGAGAATCCAAATGTTTGAAAATACTGGTTTCTTAATTTGACTTGTGGATTTGTGATTTGTGTTTGTAATTAATGGCCAACTAGACTTAGTAGGTACTGAGTAAACAAAAATGTTTACATTTCATTTGTGGAATAGTCTGTCAAGGAAAACCATCTTTTTCTGAAGGTAAAATCTATAAACCATAGGGAAAAGCCTGTGTTACAGGATGATGGGTGCAGAGCTGAGTGTGTTTATCACCTCTTACTTCTAGAATTCTGAGGCAACGTTTGGACATAAGTGATAAAAACATAACATACTTTGTTAATTTTTTTTCAGAACATGGGGGACTGCCTTCAGTGACATCATCAGTCAGTGCCTCAGTAATTAAATCTCCATCTGATCCTTCACATGCCTCTATTCCACCACCACCTCTTTTGCTTCCAGCAGCAACAACAAGGAGCAACAGCACATCAATGCCCAACAGCATTCCTAGCCTAGAAAATAAACCTCCGCAGGCTATTGTTAAACCACAGATCCTGACCCATGTTATCGAAGGCTTTGTGATTCAGGAGGGGCTAGAGCCATTCCCTGTAAGTGGAAAAGTTGCTGTGAATTTTTAACTATTCATTTTTGAAGCAAACTCTTTTTAAGGATGATGTTATTTGTGGCTAGTAGCTATTTAGATCTTGAATCATGTTTCAAATGTTGGTTTTGACCTTTATTCCCTGATTGGTAACCTGTTTCTTACAGCACTTCAATATACTCGCATACTGTTTGTGTTGTCTTACGTATATAATGGGAATTCATGCTATTGTTTGGCTTGCCAGTGTCACTGGATGACAAGGTACTAACTGAAAACACACAGATAAGTAGATAGGCTATATCCAGAGATAACTACAGAGAGTGATTTTAAGCTACCACGTGCAATAACTTTGTTTTACATTTGTCTTTTAGATACCTCAATTTAAGCGATACCTTAATTTAAACCTCTGAGATGAGTCGGTGTTATAATTCTTAAATGTTAACATTTTATTGCTTAAAGCACTGACAAGCCCCTTAGTGAGCTTGGTGTGATTAGTGCTGTGTCTGGTAAGAATTACTGTTGAAAATTTTAAATCCACAAATGGACAGTTTAAAACCTAGGAGCCTGACATATTAACTAATTTAATATGTCTCTCGTTTTCCCATTCCTTCACTTCTGTAGGTGTAATGTGTTTCTTCCTTTGTTAAATGTAATTGCAAACTCTGCAGAGCAGGAGTGAGTCTTTGTATTTGAGAAGTGGTATTTAGAGCTTTGCCACTATATAATAATGATTCATAGATATGGAATAGAAACTATAATTCCAGTCTCAGTTACGACTGCTAAGTCTCATATGTTATTTTCTATTATTTGTTATTCAGTTAATAATAACTTTGCTTTTATTGCAATAGGTAAGTCGTTCATCTTTGCTGGTAGAACAGCCTGCAGAAAAAAGATTGGTAGTGGAAGGTCAAATCATGAGTGTTGTGTGTGTTGAATCAGACTTGCAGAATACGAAACATGCAGACAACTCATCAGACACAGAGATAGAGGATATGATCGCCGAAGGTTTGTAGTTTTTGTTTAAACATTCATTTTTTTCCCTTCAGTTCTGTGTGTATTACAGAATCCCATCCCATCTGTACTTCTGGAATCTTTCTCCAGTCTTTACACTCTCTCTAATAGAAACTATTTTGAAATGTTTTTTACTAGCTACACATTATAACAGCAATTGCTGTAGATGCACACAAATGTCAAGAAACTGTGCACTTGTCCTGCTTAGAATACAGTGATCACTGGCACAACTCATGAGCTAAAAACATCAATAGAATTTCCCTATGCAGCATCCAACATAATCATCATAATGGATTTTTTAGAACTCAGCAATCAACTATTTTGGATGTGTTACACCACTATTACTGTCCAGCCCAAATGTAGGCAGCCTCATGAGTGTCATGAAATGGAAATTAAACCATGGCCCACTGCAGAAAAGCCAAGTTGTTCTTTAACTCACATTTTTGTATAAATTAATCAAAAATTTAGAAGTCCAGAATTTTTTAACCACCTCTGAATTTTCTCTTCCACAGCTTGAGAGATTGCACAAGAGTTGTTTTTGGTGATCTGTTTAAATTTGTCTTAATGCAACTCTTAGTTTCATTCTCTTAACATAGTTCTTTTCCCTCTTTCATATCAAATCTGTAGTGAGCAGGGTAAGAAAGGACAAATACAGTACCTGCTGCTGCCACAGGTCTGCATCAGAGAAGTGGAAAAAGTCAGGACAGTATGTCCTGAGCAGTAGCAAGTGTCACCATAGCTGTCCTCCAACTATTTCCCACTCCAGACGTTGTAAATTGTCACTTAATTAAAACAATCCACCCCCCCAATCTTTTTACACAGGAACTTTCAAGGTAGCAACACCAGTGGCAGTTCATTAATTACTGTGGCTTCTGGTGCTGAAGTGCAGTAGGGACGTTGGCTGCATCCATCTGTATCTCAGCAAACCCATTAACTCAAAATTCAATCTTTTAGATTATTAGATTCTGATGCATTATTTTTTACTGCAATGATTTATATCCATTACTGCTTATTAAGTGTATTGGGTCAGACCCAAATCAAGGATTGCTGACAAGGTAAAAAGCTTGCTTTACAAAGTGTTCTGAATTCAGGAAGAGTATTTGTGAGTCCATTTTTTCAAATATATTACACAATATTCTACTGGAAAACAATTAGAGGCCCATACCTTATTCACAAACCTTCATGTAGGCGTGACACTAAATTTTAGAAGGCAAGCATCTGGCCAATTAAAAGTGGAAGGCTGCAGTGTGACTGGAAGTTTTCTAAACCTTTGTTTCATTTAATTTAAAATTGCTGTTAATTTTTTTGGTATCATCTCCCAGTGAGGGCTTCCATTTAAACAGCTCTTAGTGAGGGAAGTCCAGTGACATGAAAGCATCGAGCACAAGAGGCTTTAAAAAAATAATCATCTGGGAAATTGTATGACTTGTTTGATATTTTTTGGTTATTTTGCCACTCAGTGGAGTTATACTGCTTTTCTGCACATGAAATGAGGCTTGTAAATCTCTTAGCTCATGACTTAGGTAACTTAGTAAATTGTTTAGTAAACTGATATTAAATAAACTTGCTTTCTTGATCAAGAGTATAGCTTTGGAACATCCACCATTGAGATACATCCATGTATGCAGAACTACAGCAAAGGAGATGTTCTGGTACTAAACCAGAGTATGATTGCAGGTCTGCTAGAAACACCTGATATGCAAAAGAAAAGGCTCTTGGCATCAATTTTCACTTCACACTGTGGTCACTTTTCCACATAGTATGACCTGGTTTGGGAGTGAGGGTTGTTGGTTGGGTTTTTTTTAGAGACAGTGATTTATTTGAAGGATGCATCTCTGGTATTTATTTAGCTTTGGTTGAAAAGTTGGTCAGGTTTGGTGTCTTTCTAATTCCAGTTTTTACTTCCTATGTGACACTGACTTAGGAAGTTGGAGGCTTGGAACGTGGTAATTTTCAGTCTGACACTGAAACATCAGATGTTATTCAAATAAGCTTTTCAGTATTTTCAGCTCTTTGCTGCACTGAAGCTTTTTTATTTGTTACCTTGTCAGTACAATAGTTAGTGTTAGTGAGTAGTTTAGTGAGTTAACGTCACTATAACAGACTTTTACAAATTCATAGTTAAAATCTTTCAATTAAACTTTAATACTTGCATTTGCATCAGCTGGCATCACAGGTGAACAAAGAGTTTAGGACAGAAGGCTAGTTTGTAGCTTTTGCAACTTATTATGTAAAGTCCGAACACGGAAGGTGAATAGCAAGAGGCAAAGTATATGAAACAGTGACTTAGATAAATTAGAAATCATAGAATCATAGAATGGTTTGGATTGGAAGGGACCTTAAAGCTCATCCAGTTCCAACCCCCCTGCCATCAGCAGGGACACCTTCCACTAGACCAGGTTGCTCAAAGCCTCATCCAGCCTGGCCTTCAACACTTCCAGGGAGGAGCAGCCACAACTTCTCTGGGCAACCTGTTCCAGTGTCTGACCACCCTCACAGTGAAGAACTTCTTCCTAATATCTAATCTAAACCTTCCCTCTTTCAGTTTAAACCCATTTCCCCTTGTTTTGTGGGAGAAATGTGTGTTTGTTTAGTCCTCTGAATTTTTGAGCAATGTACTTTGCCCATGTTTGCACCCATGTGGCATGCAGTTCTTTTACTTAACCTGAATGAACACAAAATGTTACATTTCAGTTTGGGCCATTTCCACTCCTTTGCTCCTTATGATGTATTTCTCCATGCCAGAAGTCAAGCTGGTTTGCAGATACAGTGGCATTATTCTAAACTACGTACAGACTGTGCTCTACACATGAAATATGCTTCCAGCAGAAGAGAGCATAGACACTCAGTGTGTGACATGTATTGCCTCGTGGCCTTGTACTGCCTTCTTTTGGGCTTTGAGGTCCCTTCCAATCCCCAACATTCTGTGATTCTGTGATTCCTGCTTTGCTTTTTTTTCACTGATGCTTCTCTCAGCTGGTGTTTGAGTTCTTCACAAGGAGCAGGAAAAGTGCCTTCTTATCTCACCCATAATAGAAAAATACTCTGTTAACAGTAGACTGTAAATCAGTAGATGCTATAATCCTTTTCTTATATGCAGCTTATCTTTTTCATCGATAAGATTCAATATTTTACTTGCTTTCACAAGTCCCTTTGGTTGTAGCAGTTGCTTATTCAAAGGAAGTATTTTAAAAGGTTAATACATTATTATATCATTACAGAAGAGCTTGAATTTAGGCTGTGGAATTCCTAGTTCTCTTAATGAACTCTTTATAAGCAATTCATGAGGACTCTCAATTTGTTTTCAGTTGTTCGCTGTGGTTGAGGGCATACTTGCTCATGGATGGCTTGAAATTTAACAAAAAAGCTGATTAAGTTAATTGAATAACTTAATTGAAGGTTCAGTAAGGTTCAATTGACTCGAGATCTTTTCTGTAGAGTGTAAAATCTATTACTTGCTTAGTTTGGCATAATTTTCTGTTAATCAATGTATTTAATGAAGCATTTTAGATATTTGAAAATATTCTACCTCTTTGCTTGAGATGAGAAATTTGAACATAATTTTGTGTCATTGAAACAGACTTCTTTGTGCCTTTCTTTAGAGGGACTGGATGAAATTGAAAATGATCTTCTGAAGTGTGAATTTTGCGGAAAAATGGGATATTCTAATAAATTCCTGCGGTCAAAAAGATTCTGCTCTACGTCCTGTGCCAAAAGGTACCTTGTCTAGTTATTGCTTATCATTATCTGGTTAATGGAATAGCACCCAAATCATCTCTGATGTTGAAAAATACAGAAACACTAAAACATTACTGCCTTCTACCTGAATTATAATCTACCTGGACTATGGTAAATTATAATATAAAATATATATATTTATATAA